GATTTGAATGATTGTCCTACAAATGATAAATGTCTTTCGGTTTTGTTTGATAACTCTTGGCTATGGCATAGAAGACTAGGACATGCTAGTATGTACTTGATTTCAAATATTTCAAAAAATTCATTAGTTAGAGGTCTTCCTCAACTTAAATTTGAAAAAGATAAAATTTGCGACGCTTGTCAAATGGGTAAGCAAACTAAGTCTTCTTTCAAATCTAAAAATATGATTTCTACTACTAGACCTCTTCAACTACTCCATATAGACTTATTTGGCCCTTCTAAAATAGCTAGTTATGGAGGAAATTATTATGCTTTTGTGATAGTGGATGATTTTTCAAGATTTACTTGGGTTTTGATGATAAAACATAAGAATGATGTTTTGAAAAGATTTGCTAGTTTTGTAAAAAGAGTTCAAAATGAAAAAGGGTTTTTAATTACTAAAATTAGGAGTGACCATGGAGGAGAATTTAACAGTGTTGCCTTTGAAAAATTTTGTGAGGATAATGGTTTTTCTCATGACTTCTCCTCTCCAAGGACTCCTCAACAAAACGGTGTGGTTGAAAGGAAAAATCGTACTTTACAAGAATTTGCTAGATCAATGTTAAATGAGTATGATTTACCTAAATATTTTTGGGCGGAAGCCGTTAATACCGCTTGTTATATTTTAAATAGAGTTTTAATTAGACCTTCATTAAATAAAACTCCTTATGAACTTTGGCATAACAAAATTCCAAATGTTGGGTATTTCAAAGTTTTTGGTTGTAAATGTTTTATTTTGAACAACAAAGAAAAGCTTGGAAAGTTTGATTCAAAAACGGATATTGGTATTTTTCTTGGCTATTCATCTACTAGTAAAGCTTATAGAATTTTCAATAAGAGAACTTTAGTTATTGAAGAATCTATGCATGTGGTATTTGATGAATCTTGCAATAATATTTCTAATGAGTCTATTTGTAGTGATGATTTAGAAAGAAATTTTGGAGATTTACTCGTTAGTGACAACGGCAAAGAAATTGTTACGAGTAAAGAAGAGATGAGCTTAAAGGAAGAAGGTTCTTCATCAATGCCAAAAGAATGGAGGTATGCCTTGTCTCATCCCAAGGACTTGATTCTTGGTGATCTCGAACAAGGTGTGAAAACTCGCTCTTCTATTAATTTATTTAATAATCTTGCTTTTGTTTCTCAAATTGAACCAAAAATTCTTAAGGATGCCGAAAATGATGAGTTTTGGATTTTAGCCATGCAAGAAGAGCTAAATCAATTTGAAAGGAACAAAGTTTGGGAATTAGTCCATAGGCCATCTAATACTTCTATTATTGGAACCAAATGGGTTTTTAGAAATAAAATGGATGAAAATGGGAATATCATTAGAAATAAAGCTAGGCTTGTAGCTCAAGGTTATTGTCAAGAGGAAGGCATAGATTATGAAGAAACTTTTGCACCCGTTGCTAGATTAGAAGCTATTAGAATGTTGCTTGCTTTTGCTTCTTACAAAAATTTTGTATTATATCAAATGGATGTGAAAAGTGCATTTTTGAATGGTTATATTATGGAGGAAGTTTATGTAGAACAACCTCCCGGATTTGAAAATGTAGAATTTCCTCATCATGTCTATAAGTTGAAAAAGGCTCTTTATGGCTTAAAACAAGCTCCAAGAGCTTGGTATGATAGACTTAATAATTTTCTTATTGGGAATGATTTTAAAATGGGCAAACTCGACACTACACTCTTTATTAAGATTAAAGAAAACGATATGCTATTAGTGCAAATATATGTGGATGATATCATATTTGGTTCTACTAATCCTTCTTTATGTGAAGAATTTTCTAAATGTATGCATAGTGAGTTTGAGATGAGTATGATGGGAGAACTCAGTTTCTTTCTTGGACTTCAAATCAAACAACTCAAGAATGGTATCTTCATCAATCAAGAGAAATACACTAAAGATTTGCTCAAAAGATTCAAGTTCAATGGAGGTAAGATTGCAAGAACTCCCATGAGCACATCCACTAAACTTGACAAGGATGAAAAAGGTAAAAGTGTGGATATTAAAGCTTATCGAGGTATGATTGGATCTTTACTTTACTTGACCGCTAGTAGACCCGATATTATGTTTAGTGTATGTCTTTGTGCTAGATTTCAATCTTGTCCTAAGGAATCTCATTTACATGCCGTTAAGAGAATATTTAAATATTTGCTTGGAACTATTGATCTAGGATTGTGGTATCCTAGAAATGTTGAATTTAAATTGGTAGGATATTCTGATGCGGATTTTGCCGGAAGCTTACTTGATCGTAAAAGTACTAGTGGAACTTGTCAATTTCTTGGTAGTTCCTTAGTTTCTTGGTTTAGTAAAAAGCAAAATTCGGTTGCCTTATCTACTACCGAAGCGGAATATATTGCGGTTGCTAGTTGCTGTGCTCAAATTCTTTGGATGAAACAAACTCTTTCTGATTTTGGATTAAAGTTTCATAGTGTGCCTATATTTTGTGATAATACAAGTGCTATTAATTTAACTAAAAATCCTATTCATCATTCTAGAACTAAACATATTGACATTAGACATCATTTTATTAGAGAGCATGTGCAAAATGGACATATTATTCTTGATTTTGTAAACTCTAATAATCAACTGGCCGATATTTTCACCAAGCCATTGAATGAAGAAAATTTTTGCAAAAATAGGCTTGAGCTTGGTATTATTCGTTGTGATATATCTTGAATTTTATAATTTTTGAATGCATGTTTTTAGGGGGAGCCATTATGTCATTATGAAATGCATTTTCTTTCAATTGTTCATTTTGATGATTACAAAGGGGGAGAAAATTAAGAAAAATATGTTCTAAATTTGTTGTTTTATAATTTATGAATCATTTACTTGGTGTGATGTTTCATAATTTCTTGAGGCATTAATATAGGGGAGAATATGCTCTTGAGTGAAATTTATGATAATATATTAGTATGTATTGATATTATTACATGGATGGTGTATTATTGGTTTTTATGAATTTTTCTTGAAATGGTTTGTCATCATCAAAAAGGAGGAGATTGTTGGCTTATTAGCCCTTGATCTCACATTAATTAATTTCAATGAATTAATTATTGATGTTTTGATGATAACAAACCTACTTTTAATTATTAACTATTTTCAGTTTTTTGAATTGTCCACAGTATAAGGTCGGGAATAACGATTACAACAACTTTTCAATTACTCAAATCAGAGCTAAAACGAAGAAATTAGAGTCGAGACAACATACCCGACGTGATGATGTGGCAACAAAATCAAAATGATGGACAAATCAAAATATATCAAAGTATGACATTTATAATATTGGAAGAGTAACAAATGGTGGAGTTTTTTCTTATTATTACATTTCTAAATAAAATTATTTTCACAAAATATAAATTTGAATATAACCGTTACTCACATCGAATTTTATTATTACTATATTATATTATTATATTATTATATTTTAAAATTTTAGTAGTTACTCACATCATTTTTATTATTATTATATTATTATATTTATAATAAATTTTGAATTTCATTTGACCGTTACTCACATAACTTTTTATTATTATTATATTATATTACTATTATATTAAAATTTTGAAATAAATGAATTTAGAAAATTTTCTTATTTAATTACTTTTAATCTCCACCTTCCATTATTCCTAACACAATCCAATGGTCAATATTCAATCCTACATTTTGCCATTTTTCTCCTCTATATAAACTCATCTTCCCCACATTTTTAAAATACACAACTTACATACATTCTTCAATCCTCATTTGTTCAAAGTCTCCATTGTTTGTTGCTCTCTCCAAGCTTACAAGTTTATTTCTTTTCATCTTATTCTTGAGAGGGATTATTATTATATTGTGAGGAAATAGTTGTCAGTATCCCAAATTGTAAATCTACTCTTTGAGAGAGTTGTGGTGTGATATTATCAAACTCAAATACTTGTTTCGGTTTGATCCTACGCCGTGGAAAGGATTGAGTTTGCTCTTGAACTCGTAAAAAGAGCGGTGTACCGGTTTGGCTCTGATCCGTGGAAAGAGTCGGAAAAGTTCTTTATTCAAATTCCCAAGAGGCGCTTGGGGAGTGGAGTAGGTCGAGTTTGACCGAACCACTATAAAACTACGGTGTCATTTTCTCTAACTCTTTCCTATTTAATTTCAAGATTATTATTATGATTTATTGCATGTTCTACTTGATTATTATTTTGACTTGAATTATTTTGTTTTAGTAATTATCATCTTCTACTTATTTGTAAAAAGTTTTATCATTAGAAAAATTAATCAAGTTTAAACACTTTTATCGTTAAAACCCTATTCACCCCCCCTCTAGGGTTGCCATACCGATCCAACACAATATTCTTCAAATCTCTATCTTGTCCTACAGACATCTCTATTTGTGAATATGAGTGATCTTTATGAATAATGTATGGTGATAGACGAGTAAATTATTAAATATAAGTGTCTTCAGAATAAATAGCCAAGGGAACATAATTTAACTGATTAAGATATGATATTTGTTGTTTTTTTTTTAAGATTGAATTTTAAAATTGTCATTTTAAAAATATCATATTAATTAAAAAAGAAAAATCAAATTAAGATAATAATATAAAGGGTAGAGTTAGAGTAATGGTTTGCCACTAAGAGAGCAACTTTGTCTAAATAATAAGACAATAAAATAGTGTAAATCCCTCTTATATATATAAATAAATTTTATTATACATATTTTCTCAGAATTTATTAATTAATAGGTTTATATTTGATAAGATCCAACGGTTGAGATTGGACGAAAAAGAGAAAGAAGGCGAAGAATGGGGCTGGGCAAAGCTGTCAGCCAGGTCACCCTATCTTTTCTGGTGGTGGAAATGATTCCTTCAATTCCCAATCCAAATTCGTCATTTCATCCTAATTTGCGTTTGCATTTGCATTTGAATTTACATTACCGCGCGTTCTCTCTCTCTCTATTTATAAACCCTATCTTCCCCTGATTTCTCTTCCTGTAATTCCTGTCGCGCAACACAGCTAGCTAGGTCGACTCTCACTACTCTCAGCCACACCTTCGTCTTTGGAGGTTGGCTTCTTCTTCCTCGTTCATTTTCCTCTCTTTAATCCAAGGTTTGTTTCATCTCCTTCTCTCTATCTTGCATTCTTTCATTTACTTCACTCTTTCTACTCTGCTGCCATTTGCTTCTGTCTCTTATTCTTCTGAACTTCGATCTGCGGTTTTTGTTTTTTTTGGTAAATTATGCTTTTCAGGGCTCTCATTTTCTGATTTACTGCTTTAATTCGGTTTCTACTGATGAGGTTTCTGAAATTTTGCTGATCTTTGTGTCTGGTTTGGAATTCTGCATCGATCGGTGTGGATCCGTGATTTTTGTCCGATCGATGTAACTGATCTGAAAATTTTGGTTTGGGTTTTGACTGTGTGTACTTATGCAACTGAGATCTAGGATTTGGCGATGTGTAGCTTTTGATTTCCGCATGCAATTCTGTAATCGCGCATTGCTGCGCAGCTTTCTGGTGATTGGTGCATGTTTTTGTTTATTTCTTGTCTGTTTAGTTGATGGACGAACTATTCTGATCTTTTGGTTGTCTGATCTGGGATTTAGTGTCTTTGTTCTCTGCTTTTGTGTTATTTTTATCACTCAGATTAGTCTTGGTAGCTTCTCGATCTGAAAACGGATAAGATTATCAGTTTATTGTCAGCTCGTGTTCCTTTTCGTTTGTAAGATCTTTAAGATATTTGACTACTGGTTTGATTTTTTGTGTCTGGACTCTTTTTTAGTAGTATATTGATTCCTGTATTACTTGCTGAGTCTGGAAGATCAATTACATGAAGTTAATTTATGGATTGTAAATGGAAGATGCCTGAGACATGAATTCTAGATTGCTGTGTGTGGTTTATTTATTCAACTTCTATTTTTTATAATGCTTTGAGCAGTTTTTGAAAGAGATGGCAGACGCTGAAGATATTCAGCCACTTGTTTGTGACAATGGAACTGGAATGGTGAAGGTCAGTTCATTGGTTCTTTTATCCTGTGTTCTTGTGTTTGTGTCCTGGTTGCATCCATTTTCATCCCAAGGATTTTCATGACCTCCTCTAATTTAATGTCATTTTTTGTGGTGCAGGCTGGCTTTGCTGGTGATGATGCTCCTAGGGCTGTTTTTCCCAGTATTGTTGGTCGTCCCCGACATACCGGTGTCATGGTTGGAATGGGCCAAAAAGATGCCTATGTTGGGGATGAGGCTCAGTCCAAAAGAGGTATCCTTACCTTGAAATATCCCATTGAGCATGGTATAGTCAGTAACTGGGATGACATGGAAAAGATTTGGCATCACACATTTTACAATGAACTTCGTGTTGCTCCCGAAGAGCACCCTGTGCTTCTGACTGAGGCTCCACTCAACCCAAAGGCTAACAGAGAAAAGATGACTCAAATCATGTTTGAGACGTTTAATGTGCCTGCTATGTACGTTGCCATCCAGGCCGTTCTGTCCCTATATGCTAGTGGACGTACAACTGGTGTGTATATGAATTCTATTTGAATGACAATGATGTAATTTTGAACTTGGATTATTTGGTATTGATAAAGATTTACTTTGAACAGGTATTGTGCTGGATTCTGGTGATGGTGTGAGTCACACCGTTCCCATTTACGAGGGTTATGCCCTCCCTCATGCAATTCTTCGTTTAGACCTTGCCGGTCGTGACCTCACTGATGCTTTGATGAAGATTCTCACCGAAAGAGGTTACATGTTCACCACTACTGCTGAACGGGAAATTGTCCGTGACATGAAGGAGAAGCTGGCATATGTTGCTCTTGACTATGAACAAGAACTCGAGACTGCAAAGAGCAGTTCCTCTATTGAGAAGAACTACGAACTTCCTGATGGACAAGTCATCACCATTGGAGCTGAAAGATTCCGTTGCCCAGAAGTTCTATTCCAACCATCTCTCATTGGTATGGAAGCTGCAGGAATCCACGAAACTACCTACAACTCCATCATGAAGTGTGACGTAGATATCAGAAAGGACCTTTACGGAAACATCGTCCTCAGTGGTGGCTCAACCATGTTCCCTGGCATTGCAGACAGGATGAGCAAGGAAATTACAGCCCTCGCTCCCAGCAGCATGAAGATTAAGGTTGTTGCCCCACCCGAAAGGAAATACAGTGTCTGGATTGGAGGGTCTATTCTCGCATCCCTAAGTACCTTCCAGCAGGTAAATCTATTCTTGCATCCACAGAATATTTCGTTATAGTTTCGAATTCACAAATGGCACTCACCCTTGCGTTTTGTTGTATCAGATGTGGATTTCAAAGGGTGAATATGATGAATCGGGCCCATCCATTGTCCACAGGAAGTGTTTCTGAGCTGCTGGTCAGTTTCTTTGCTGGTGAGTTATTTTTCCCTTTAGTTGGCTTTTTTGTGTCATGTAATGTTGAACTGAGATTGGTTGGCGTCAAAGGAGGAAGGAAGGGGGGGACTGTGTTAGATTTGTTGTATCAATGCATTTTCATTCACTATGATTCTCCATTCATACGGTGGCCTTGTTGTTGGAAGCTCACAATTGCTGGTGACCCTCCAGATTTGTGGCAAAAAGAATCTGTTCTGTTCTGTCATCTGTGGTTCTCGACCAAATGATTTTAGGGATATTCGTAGCAGAAAGAGTGATTGTGATGCTTTTCCTAAATATATACTTTTTTTCCAATTTTCTTTTCTTTTTGAAGGTTTTTCCTGAGAACATTAATGTTAATATTTATTGTATGCGAAATATTAGTGTCAGTTTTTGGTCGTAAACTTGCTATGGAATTGAAATCTTGATACTGCCTTTTGAGCTTTCCAGAGATGTCTCTCTCAATGTTTCTTACCTTTGTGAAGTAAATGAATGTATGTTCATCCAGTTTCATTCCTAATTACCCATTCCCATTATGTAAAGTATAGAAACTATTGGGAGATTCAATACCCCTATAAAGGTGATTAAGGTAATTAGAAGTGGGTATTTGAAATGGTGGTCACAATCACAATGAAATGATGGTCGAGTGAGTTAAATGATGGTCAACTCACTCTCAGTACTGAGTGAATTAAGTCAACTTAAGATCGTGTTGTCTACGGTCAGCCAACGTGTGCTCAAGCTCTTGTCCCGTTTTGAGAAGAAAGTTTTAGAAAACGGCAGTAGAGAGATTGAAAATAATGTTATTATATGACTACAAGCAAAAGACAATACCACGATTTAAATAGAATCTCTCTCTTGGTAGGAAAAATTTGACATGTGCATGTTTATTTTTGTCTAGCTCGATAGCAATATTTGGGTACATTTTGAACTGTATCTATTCTTTGAGTTTGGCATGTGCTAAACCCATCGAATCTATGTAATGCTCCAGGTTCGAGATTCAAACCAAATTTGAGTTAACCTTTGTAGGGAATTCTTGTAATCTATCTTAAGAACTATTTCGAAATATTAATGTAATACGTCAAAGTCGAGCAATGTTCGAATCTGGTTTGTATTTTTAAAAAACACAAGTATATGCTCTGAGGGGCTTGGGAAGCCTTTCTTCTTTCTTCTAAATTAATCTGTAGAAGTTGAGGTTAAGCTGGAATTGCACTTTGGCCAACCTCTTTATTCTATTTTATTAATCAAAACCATACTAACCATCCGTTTGATAGTGATCTTTACAGGTAGAAAATGATTCCAAACATTAATTCAATAAAGTATGAAATAAAACATTTTTTACAAGGATGTAGAAACTTCTCCCTAACAGACATGTTTTAAAAACTTCGAGGAAAAATTCGAAAAGAAAGACAATATCTACTAGTGGCGATGTTTGATCATAGTTTGTCTATTAGCTCCACGATAGGTGTCAAGTAAAAGTGCAGTGATATATGCAGCTGAGGCATCCTAATAGACCGGTAGACTTGAACCCAAAACCATTAATAAAAATGAGCGTACACACACAATAATGAAACTCTTCCACTAGAAAAGTAATCTTCCAATTATGATGAAGCACTTACAGGAATTGAATAATATAATCTTAAATATTTTATTGAACGGTGATGGTTGGATTGTTGGTTTTATTAAACAACACACACAGAGCTGAAGGGGAAGAGGGATCAAAATAGTTGTTTGGTTTCATGAGAATGGACTCAAACAAGCCTTACCTGGCTGCTATTCTCTGCCAAATCGCTTTTGCTGGGATGAGTCTATTGTCAAAGGCTGCCTTTGCATCTGGTATGAATGTTTATATCTTCCTTTTCTACAGGCAAGCTGTTGGAACTCTCTTCTTGCTGCCCATCACCATATTTTTCAAAAGGTAACTAATTACTTAAGTCTCATTTGAGACGATTTTCTCAGTTAGCTTAACGTCTTTTGGATAAAACCAAAACTAAATTACGAGAGCTTAACCCAAAGTAGAACATATCGCACCATTATCCAGAGAGGGGAGAGCCACTCCTGAAGGACAGACAAAGTCACATCTTCTTTTTTGAATTCAGGAGAGGGGCGGCATAATACCGAAAAAGAAAAGAAAAAAAAGTCCATTTCGAACATTGGTTGGGGAGGAGAACAAACCACCATTTATAAGGGTGTGGAAACCTTCCCCTAGTAGACGCGTTTTAAAGTCTTGAGGGAAAGCCCATAAAGTATGGGTCGTTACAAATGGTATCAGAGCCAGACATCGGACGATGTGCCAGCCTTCTCGCTGTTCCCTGAAAGGGGGTAGACACGAGGTGGTGTGCCAGTAAGGATGCTGGCCCCAAAAGGGGGTGGATTTGGGGGCGGTCCCACATCGATTGGAGGAAGGAAAGAGTGCCAGTGAGGACGCTGGGCCCCAAAGGGGTTGTGATGTCCCACATTGGTTGGGGAGGAGAACAAACCACCATTTGTATGAGTGTGGAAACCTTTCCTAAGCAGACGCGTTTTAAAGCCTTGAGGGGAAGACCAAAAGGAAAAACCTAAAAAGGACAATATCTGCTAGCGGTGGATCTAGGCCATTACAGAGTCCTAGCCATTTTTCTTCTAAAATTGGGGTATTGGTTCATATTTCAAGAATCTCACCTCTTTTAGTTGGACTAACCGATTTTCACTCAAAAGTCGACCCCAAAGCCATAATATCTCAAAATGAGGAGTTGAGAATGCGCGACAACTCCATTTCTTCGTTAAACTACTTTGTAGAATCCCCCGATTAATGGCCTAATACAGGGTGGGAGCTAGTGAAACATGTCGTTCGTAATGCACCATTATGACGTTGTAGAGGTTCACTTGTACAAAACCAAGCTCTAGATTTAGCCACATATGTGCATGCAATCCTCGAGTGGCCGTGAGCGATTCAAAGATCATACATGCATAACCAAGAGATAATTATCTTCATTCGCACGAGATCTTTTCATACCCGTAACAATTGGTTTCTTGTTTTTTTCATGGATTGCAGACAGGAAATAGCAAGCTTATCAGTAGGAGTGGTGTTCAAGATTTTCATGCAGGCCAGTTTAGGGTCAGTACAATTATAAGTAAATTTACTCTCTGAATTTGAGATTGTTCATGGATCGTTTCAGCAATCATTTGTGTTTAAAACGTGCAGGTTTACACTGGCTTTGAATGTTTATGGGTTAGGCGTTAAATATACTTCTGCAACTTTGGGTGCTGCAGCCTTCAATTGTCTCCCTGTCACCACCTTCTTCTTTGCTCTTATTTTCAGGTTCTAAACCATAATCTTTCTCCAAACTTCCGTGTTGGAGAGGGAAAGCTCAAAGAGAACAATATTTGTTAGCCGTGGATTTGAGTTGTTAAAAAATTATGATTAAGTATTTAGTTATTAGTAGGCCATGAACGCTCAGCTCGTATGTATGTGTATGTGTTGCTGATAGGATGGAGGAAGTAAAGATAAGGAAAGCAAGTGGAATGGCAAAGGTTGGAGGCATAATTGTGTGCATTGCAGGCGTTGCAGTGCTTGCATTTTACAAAGGCCCATACATGAAGCCATTCTTCAAGCATCATCTTTTTGAAGCCCATGAGTCTCATGTTTCTTCCCCCAAAACATGGATTCTTGGTTGTTTTTTGCTTCTCTTCGCTTGCATTTCATGGGGTTTGTGGTTTGTTCTTCAGGTTAGTTACCCAAACTGCACCTTCTTTGTCGTCTTTTGTTATCGTAACCCATCAACTTAAACGTATATTTTCAGGCATTGATTTTGAAGACGGGCTCATCGCCACTCGTGTTAACGTGTGGACAAACATTGTCAAGCGCTTTGCAGTCGTTTGTTGTGGCCATTGCAGTGGAACGAAACACTTTTGAGTGGCAGCTCGGTTGGAACATTCGCCTCGTTTCTGTTCTTTATTGCGTATGAATCTTTCTCTCTAAACTACAAAAGCTTATTGTAGAGGTTCACTTGTTCTTAACTAGCGGTATCGAAACCAAACTCTAAACTTAGCCATGTATGTGCACGCAATCCTCAAGTGGCTTGAGCATAACAGCCAAAGTTCACCGCTAGCAGATATTGTCCTCTTTGAGCTTTCAATTTTAGGCTTTCCTTCCAGGTTTTTATAACGCGTCTATTAGAGAGAGGTTTTCGTAGCCTTATAAAGAATGTTTAGTTCTTCTCTCCAACTGATGTGAGATCTCACAATCCACCTTCTCCCTTCAAGATCCAGTGTCCTTGCTGACACTCGTTCCTCTCTCCAATCGATGTGGGGTCTCACAATCTACTCCCTTTTGAGGCCAGGGTCAGCGTTGGCACACCGCCCAGTGTCTGGCTCTGATACCATTTGTAACAATCTAAATCCACTGCTAGCAGCTACTGTTTTTCGTTGGGCTTTCCCTTTCGAGCTTCCCCTCAAGGTTTTTAACACGTTTCTATTAGGAAGAGGTTTCTACACTCGTATAAAGAATATTTTGTTCCTCTCTTCAACCGATACTATAGACACTCGTGCACGTAACAGTAAAAATAGGGTTGTTTCATTCTCTAATAGCTTATTATTGCAGGGAACTTTTGTAATATGCATTGCAAACTTTCTGTCAAGTTGGGTCATAAAAAAGAAGGGCCCTGTTTTCCAAGCTGTTACCACACCCTTGAACCTCATTTTTACACTCATTGGTTCACAGTTGCTGTTGAACGATGGAGTTAGCTTGGGGAGGTGAGTGTGGGATGGTCCATTCCTTATTGTTATTACTCACCATTTTAACCCATTTTTGGTTCTTCTGGGTGTGCGATGAACAGTGCCATAGGCGCCATGTTGCTGGTTTTGAGCCTTTACAGCGTTCTATGGGGAAAAAGGAAGGAGATGAGTTGCAGCGATGAAGAAACCAAGAACCATCCTTCTGTTCCACCCCAAAAGGAAATTATAGATCACATCTGAATTCCAACCGCATCCATTCAGAATTCACGTCTCGAATTCTTGAATCTCGGTTTTTTTTTTTTTTTTTATCTAATGCTTCAAATGAATTGATGGTAAGGTTCGGTACACATGGTAATAATTCTTTTTGGTCCTCATTTAATCTCGATACAATATCGGGTAAATATAGGAAGAGACTAAAACGAATTTTTTTTTTTGAAAATCAATCGAGCTCGTGACAAAACTATCACGAACGGTGAGATTCCACATCGATTGAATGGGAGAACAAAATATTCTTTATAAGAGTGAAAATCTTATCCTAGCAAACGCGTTTTAAAAACGTTGAGGGAAAAGTCTTAAGAAGACAATATCTATTAGTGGTGGGCTTGGGCTATTACAAATGGTATCAGGACTAGACACCGAACGATGAGGTTGAGCCTTGAAAGGGAGTGGACATGAAGTGTGCCAACAAAGACTCTGGGTCACGAAGAAGGTGGATTGAGAGTCTCATCTCACACCGATAAGAGAAGGGAACAAATGGCGACGTGTCAACGAGGAGACTGAACCTCGAAAGGGAGTGGACATAAAGTGGTGCGCCGGCAAAGACGCTGAATCCCAAAGAAGGTGGATTGGGGGGTTCCACATCGGTTCCACATCGATTAGAGGAGTGGACAGCGACAGCGGCTATGGTGGGGTGTTACATGAAATTGCTATCACAAAAATTAAATTTTTTTTTTCAAAAATAATTTTTTTTAATTGAAATTTAAAAATAAAATAAATATGAGGTAGAAGATTAGTTAAAATTTGTCGACAACAAAAAGCCCCAAATTATTGAATTCTTGACGGATTCATCAAAGCCCTTTTCTGCCGGTTCCCCCATCCATCCCTCCATCTCAGATTGAAGCAAGCTCGTAATCAATGGCGGATTTGGAAGCCCACACTCGGCCACACCCATCAATCTCCACAGAGACAGCTCTCCAGGCACTGAACACCTTAATCCAGCTCCATTTCGAGAAGACCCTAGAGAAGAAGCACGCCATAGATCTTCAAAAGAAACAGCTCCACAACCTCTTCCACCTCTTCTTCATTTTTCTGGCTCTCATCTTCTTAGCCCAATCCCTTTCCCCTCGCCTCCAGTGCCGCCATTGCTGGATACCCATTGCTCTCCTCTCCCTTTCCCATCTCACTTTCTATGTCTCTGTCGCTCAGACCCTCCGCTGCATCAATGCCTTCAAGTATCAGCGCCGTTGCCATAAACTCACTCTGGGTTTGGCCACGGAGAAGCTCCGACTCATGAAGATGAGGATCTCTACCGCCGGCGGAGGCCTCGATGGCGGCGCCGCGGATGAGGAATTTGAGATTCATTACCAGGAGCCGCCGGAGAGCTATTTGGGTAAGTTTAAGAGGAATTGGGCTCTGCATTTTGGGTTCTTGATCTTCATCTATGGATTTATGATTTCTTCCTCTGTTGTTCTTCTCTGTTCTTGATTTTTTTTTTTCCCCATTTTTCTCGATTTTAAATACAATGTATGATGATGGTTAATTTTTCAATCCTTAGTCAAGAATTTTGAATAATAGCTTCCTATGTTCGTAGGTAGATCGATAATTTATACTCTAAAAATTAAGTTTAAATCACTATATGATTTGAAACGACTTTTGACTTATTCATTCACTTCCGACTCATGATCCAATAATAACCCTTAAAACAACATTAAATTTAAGTTCATTAACAGGTCGATATTCAACTTATGATTCCAATTATTATTGGAGGAAATGATTAATTATATGGTAATGGCTGCCCACAAACTTTGCTTCCATGTTTTTATGAAATTTAATATGTAATTAGTTAATTAATTAATTTCTAATTTTGATGGTTATTTAAGAGAAAAATTACGCATCCCAAAAATAATGGTGGCGAGCCCATTTCTCCAATATGGCCAAACCTGTAACATTACACAACATAACAAACCCATTCCTCAAAATCCCATAATATTCCCCCAAACCCAAAATTTTCGGGTGTATACTGGCAGCCCGGCTCGAATGGTAGAGTTCTCCACAATAGTATGATGGTGTCTATTTTGAGAATAAGCTCTCGTGAGCTTGTCTTGGGCTTCTTCAAAAGACCTCGTATCAAAGGATGGTGTATTCTTTAATTATAAATCCATGATCATTCTCTAAATTAACCGATGTGGGACACCTTCATCCGATACCTATCTTGACTTTAACTTATTTCATTCAACTATTATTAAAATTAAACAAGAAAATTATATTATTTTTCTAACGAAACAATATTTGAGTGCATTTTTGGACTGTACACATTATTTTATTTTACCGTCCGCTCCAAGTACATAGTAGAAAAAACTAAAATATTTATAAAAAAAAAAAAAAAAAAAAAAAAAAAAAAAA